ACCTAGTTTCATCTGACTTCTTCACATCAAATCCATACACGATCTCTTCTATGAAAGTGAATCAGAGTATATTTATGGTCGAAAATAAGGGAATAACCTCAAATCCAGTAGGATGATTTGTGACTTTTGACTATGTCACAGGATAACATAATAACCTTAATTTATGTTTCATGTGTTTTAGGACTTTATCATTAGGTGATATTAAAACTAAACAATAATCATGCATAAATATAGCAATATTTAAGCATAAGGAATCTCTCTGTAGTCTAATAAACTTATTCATATTTTTCAAATCAAAACCAATGGTCTGCGGATAACAAAAAGTACTTTAACCAGGAAATAGAGAATTAATTTAGAATTACATAAATGATTAAACAGTAAATTTATACTAAATCAGCTTACTCCTGTTGACTTTAAATAACGATCTCTCACCATATTATGAACATATTCTGGCGTATATGGCATATTGCCCAAAATAAGCATTAAGAGTGGCACTCCAAGATATACTGTTCCCCGAAATCCTTCACGAAACCAATGTCTTAATGCCTTCCAAAGAAATTTAATAAACCAAGGATTAGTCTCAAATTTTAAGTTGAAAACTGAACCCTTAAATTAGCGAATTAGTAAAATGCTTAAGATGAGTTATGCATAAAAGAAGGCACTTAAAAGTTGTCATTTGCTTATTGTAAATCATTGGATTAGTCAAATGATTTAGCGACTAGTATTTATTTAATTTCTTCGTTAGGGAAATGTTCTGTTGCTAATATGATTAACAGTATTAAGCTAGAATGAACTGGATAATCTTGTTCAGATGTGATCAGGAACGATTACAACCCTAATTCACCTTTGATATAATATTAGTAAAGTGAACCAAATATTATTTGAAGGACACATTTGTTGAGTATTTATTAACCAATGTATATTTTTTTGTCTATAATCTGCTCTGCGAAATGTTACCCTTTATAATTTAGATACGTCATAATTATTTAGCAGAGTAATTCCTTTATTTAACTGAATAACGGCAAAAACTGGATATTTCCCCCACCTTTCAGTTTGTGATTTACCTCCTGAGTTAAGATTTTCATCGCTTGACTGTAAATAGTTGTCGAAAACTTCAGTTTCGTAAGTCATCACTGAGGAACTCAAATTTGGTTATGGAGTAAACAGATCAGTAATCATTCAGTGCATATTTTAAGAAATGTCACTCACAAAGATATCATAAAACAGGAGCATCCAGTACGATGTTTTTTCTCTGAAATCCGAATCATCACCGTTCAATACAATTTCGAAAATTAACAGAATTAGTTTCGTTGATCAACTAAAAACATGCCATTTGTAGAGTTCATATGAAATTATGACTGCAAATTGTAGCTGTATGAAGAGCTGGAGAAATTTTCGAGTAATTAACATCATTTGAGAATATCTAGCAAGATGCTATTCCACTTTCTCGGTCAAAACTAAGCACATCAAAGTGTGAATTTTGTTTCATTAGTAGTCTTTCCTTTCAAACATATATATTGTGGCTTATGAAATAAAACTCCGTACATGGAGTCACAGGTTAGAAGTGTCTCGTATAATACACTTAAGCGGACGAGTCATTACTCAAACCACAAAAGAAACATAACCTCAGACAAAATGGATTCATATAGTCTCATTAAAAATATACAGCTAAGAGCTAAAACCTAACTTCGCCTGGAGTCCCTCCAGGGGCTACTGCCTGTCCCAAGCCTGGATAAAGGAGGGTTGGACATGGGGTTAGCGATTCCATCCCGTAGAAAAATAACTCGCTAAAAAACGCTAACCAGAAAAAATTATTCAAACATTTTAAACTCTGCCCTGGGAGTTAGAAGGTCTTCATTTAGAAGATCTATGACGCTTCATGATGAAAGCCGAATTCCTTCGGAAGTTACGAGGCCGATGCCCCTTCTGACAACCAGAGCAACCATTTATTAAGGTACATGGAATGTTCGTACAATGTGGGACACCGGGAGAGCCTTCCAAATTGCTGCAGAAATGAGGAGATACAACCTAGAGGTGCTTGGGATCAGTGAAACACATTGGACACAAGTTGGACAACAACGACTAACTACAGGAGAGCTTCTGTTATACTCCGGCCATGAAGATGAAAATGCCCCACATACACAAGGAGTTGCATTGATGCTGTCCAAACAAGCACAAAATGCACTTATAGGATGGGAATCTCATGGACCAAGGATCATCAAAGCCTCCTTCAAAACAAAGAAAAAGGGCATTTCAATGAACATCATCCAATGCTATGCGCCTACCAACGACTACAATGAAGACGCTAAAGATCAATTCTACAATAGGCTGCAGTCAATCGTCGAGAAGTGCCCAACAAAGGACCTGACCATTCTGATGGGAGATTTCAATGCCAAGGTTGGAACGGACAACACTGGATATGAAGACATCATGGGACGACACGGACTGAGGGAGAAAGGAACGAAAATGGTGAGAGATTTGCAAACCTATGTGCCTTCAATAAACTGGTCATAGGCGGCACCATATTCCCACATAAACACATACACAAAACCACATGGACTTCACCGGATCACACTACACAAAACCAAATCGACCATATTTGCATCAACAAAACGTTCAGGAGGACGATGAAAGACGTGAGAACCAAGAGAGGAGCTGATATAGCATCAGATCATCACTTGCTGGTCGCCAAGATGAAATTGAAACTCAAGAAGCACTGGACAACGGGGCGGACAATATCACAAAAGTTCAATACGGCCTTTCTTCAGGATACTAACAAACTCAACAAATTCAAGATAGTCCTCAGCAACAAGTTCCAGGCCTTTCATGATCTACTCAATGGAGAAGGAACTACTATGGAGAGCAACTGGAAGGGGATCAAAGAGGCAATCACTTCAACATGTCATGAGGTCCTGGGTCACAAGAAGCACCATCACAAGGAATGGATCACTGTTGATACACTGGATAAGATTCAAGAAAGGAGGAACAAAAAGGCAGCAATCAATACCAGTCGAACAAGAGCAGAAAAAGCCAAGGCACAAGCTGAATACACAGAAGGAAAAAACAAGTGAAGAGGAGCATCAGAACCGACAAACGTAAATATGTGGAAGATTTAGCAACGACGGCGGAAAAGGCTGCAAGAGAAGGAAACATGAGACAACTGTATGACACGACAAAGAAACTCTCTGGAAATCGCCGCAAACCGGAGCGACCAGTGAAAAGCAAGGAAGGTAAGGTAATCACCAATATTGAAGAACAATAAACAGGTGGGTAGAACACTTCAAAGAACTCTTGAATCGACCAGCTCCACTGAACCCACCCAACATCGAAGCAGCACCCACGGACCTCCCAATCAATGTTGGCCCACCAACAATTGAAGAAATCAGCATGGCCATCAGACAAATCAAGAGTGGCAAAGCAGCAGGACCAGACAACATTCCAGCAGAGGCACTGAAAGCAGACGTAGCGGCAACTGCAAGGATACTCCACATTCTCTTCAATAAGATTTGGGATGAGGAACAAGTACCAAAAGCTGGAAAGAAGGACTTCTGATCAAAATACCGAAGAAAGGCGATCTCAGCAACTGTGATAACTACAGGGGCATCACTCTTCTCTCAATACCGGGAAAAGTCTTCAACAGGGTATTGTTAAACAGGATGAAGGACTGCGTAGACGCCCAACTTCGTGACCAACAGGCAGGATTCCGTAAGGATAGATCGTGTACAGACCAAATCGCAACTCTACGGATCATTGTGGAACAATCAATTGAATGGAATTCATCACTCTACATCAACTTCATTGACTACGAAAAAGCATTTTACAGCGTGGACAGAACAACACTATGGAAGCTTCTTCGACACTACGACGTGCCTCAGAAGATAGTCAATATCATACAGAATTCATGTGATGGATTACACTGCAAAATCGTGCATGGAGGACAGTTGACAGACTCGTTCGAGGTAAAGACCGGTGTCAGGCAAGGTTGCTTACTCTCACCCTTTCTCTTTCTCCTGGTGATCGACTGGATCATGAAGACGTCAACATCTGAAGGGAAACGCGGGATACAATGGACATCTAGGATGCAGTTGGACGATCTAGACTTCGCAGATGATCTGGCCCTTCTATCCCAAACGCAACAACAAATGCAGGAGAAAACGACCAGTGTGGCAGCAGCCTCAGCAGCAGTAGGTCTCAATATACACAAAGGGAAAAGCAAGATTCTCCGATACAACACAGCATGCACCAATCCAATCAAAATTGACGGAGAAGATTTGGAAGATGTAAAAACCTTTACATATTTGGGCAGCATCATTGATGAACAGGGTGGATCTGATGCAGATGTGAAGGCGCGGATCGGCAAAGCAAGAGCAGCATATTTACAACTGAAGAACATCTGGAACTCAAAGCAACTGTCAACCAACACCAAGGTCAGGATTTTCAATACAAATGTCAAGACAGTTCTACTGTATGGGGCAGAAACCTGGAGAACTACAAAAGCCATCATCCAGAAAATACAGGTGTTTATTAACAGTTGTCTACGCAAAATACTTCGGATCCATTGGCCGGACACTATTAGCAACAACCTACTGTGGGAGAGAACAAACCAGATCCCAGCGGAGGAAGAAATCAGGAAGAAGAGCTGGAAGTGGATAGGACACACATTGAGGAAAGCACCCAACTGCGTCACATGGAATCCTCAAGGTCAAAGGAAAAGAGGAAGACCAAAGAACACATTACGCCGGGAAATGGAGATAGACATGAGAAAAATGAACAAGAATTGGATGGAATTAGAAAAGAAGACCCAGGACAGAGTGGGTTGGAGAATGCTGGTCGGCGGCCTATGCCCCATTAGGAGTAACAGGCGTAAGTAAGAGCTGAAACCTACGTAAACTGTAAATACCTCATCAAATCAGTGGTAGAGAAAATATTGCGTAAACAACTGGCTATTAGGAGTCATAGGTAAGTAATCGGTATTTAATCATGTAGTCCATTGTATTTAACAGATGAGGTGTGTACTGGAACCATCCACAGACAATATGATTTCCAAAAAAGTTGCAAAATTCAGAAGTTTAGAATAAGACTAAGCTCGAGGATTAGTGTAAGATATGGGATAAGTGAATCTACTCAGCTGCGAGAAACTCCTGGCTAATTAATTTAACACCACCAACCATGAATAACGATAGGTTCATAGATCTCGATCAAGAATTCTACAGCCGGGGTCAGCTTCTAACCCATACACCACTTAGAGTTTGAATCGCGGAAATATTTTACAAGTATCTTTATTTTAATGTCTTCCAAACGCCACTTATTTTAATTCCAAGTTTTAAAAAATTTATCGTATCTTAATAGAACATTGGATACAATGTTGATTTGTAAATTAATAAATCCATAAAAGCCGAGTGTTAACGAAATTACAAACAAGCCGGAATTTTACACATTAATAAAGGCATGTCATCAACAAGATGAAATGTCTGCTCTAATATCCTTCAAAAATAAATTCAATTTAAACGAAGCAAACAAGAAATAGCGTCTCACGAACATACCAGAACAACAAGAAAATGAATTTAAATATGTTTGTGTAGCGTGAATTTATTTACAATCTATACAAAAATGAATACACATAAACATTTTGCATAGTTTGATATACTACTCTTATAAGAAAATATGCACAAGAAAATAAGATATCACAACAAAACTATCCAGATCCAATAGACATAGGTATCCATTTTTCAACAATTCATCGGTGTATAGATCATCAACGAGAGTGCATAGATCCATTTTAATTTTCTATTATTATAAAACAAAAAGCAATCAAAACAGCTGATAAACATCAGAAAAGGTATAAATAATTACGAAAACACGGAATCCAAAGAAAATGAACTGAAAGGATAAAATCACGATAACATATTTCAGAAAATATTGCGACAAATCAACTGACGATGTTAGTATACATCAGGGTATAAAAGTTTTTGTATATATGATATTTATCAAAAGTAGCATGAACATGAGATACTTATTAGTAAAAACATTAACAATCAGGGATGAAAAAAATCAAGGTGATTAAGTAATCAAACACCCTTCATTTTAGTCTATGTCATACTGTTTGATAACAAAGATACTTAATTTTAGTACATTGATAAAAATAACTTCTGATAATTCACAGCGTCATCAATCAAGTCCACTAAAAACTATAGTCGGTGGCAATATGACCTTTTTCTTATAAACCTAAGATCTTTTTTGCTGCTAGTAACAATCTATAAATAATTTTATCCCCACTTCGGTAGTTTTCGATTGTTTCTTTTAACAGTTTAATACACATGAACGTTGTCTTAGATTGGGAAGTAAACTACGTGTTTCTATGAGATATTAATGATGCAATATATATGGTAAACGTTTGAAACTAGATTGATGAATGTAACCGAGGTTTTGTTACTTCGTTGGTTATGTTGTAGTGTTGGTTACTATGTTAAGCCCATATAACTTATTCTACCTTCTGGATAGGCCGATTTATTCATTTTTCTTGAGTCATATCTTGACCTTGTTAATTATTCACCTATCGACCTTGACTGTTTTTGTATGAGAGTATGTGTGTACACTTCTTATCCTATTCAAAACATATCTGTAACTTATTTTCGTCTGGCTATAAATATCGATTCACGCTTGGTTAAATTGAGTTGGTTCACATGCCATCTTCACTGCACGTCGTTTCGTTTCACTCTCTTCGCTTTATTCCTCTGATTGTCTCTTCAAATCAATGAGTGTACAAAATATACGCATTCAAAAATCCGTTCTCGTATTTGGCTTATTTAATTTTGTATTCACTAGCGCGGATTAAGTCGATAATATATACGAGATTGGCAACATGTATACTTCGATAATAAGCAGAAATGCTCCATCTGGAATCAGATATAGGGCCACTAAAATATGGTCGTATTAGCTTTGATAGACTACTCATGTAGAAGTAAGGAGTGAATAGAAGGAAGACGACAATATCCGATATGATAAAGTGTAGCCTAAGGAGAAGTAAAATATATCGAAAGCTATACACCACAGAAAATTTATTCATGATAATTAACAAAAAGGTCTATTTTCAGTTACAAAAAACTATGTTGCATGACAGAAAAGAGTTGCCTGGATGAGTGGTTGTATTATAAACTTATCGATAGAATTTGACCTATACTGAATAACTAGTATACTGATTCAGCACTTAAGAAAGTCGCTACCGGTGTAAAAAAAAACTAGTATTAACGGTAAAGGCTTTGTTATTCAGTCATATGGATTATAGTGATTATATGGAGCATCAGTTGTACATGCATCATACTAATTAATGCTAACAAACAAAATTTAGATTTACAGTTTCGTTGACCGGTTTTAATAAATGGACACCTATTAGTGCAACATGGGTCGTTCTATTTAATAGACACGTAAAAATGACCGGCGAAAATCGCACAACTCTGATAAATAGACAATATGACACCAGTTATCCATAAGTAATCAATTATTATTTAGAAATTTTTCATAAGTAAAAGAAAACTCACTTCAATTTCTTCGGCTCTTACAAACTCGTCGGTATTTGTATATGCTTCACGGAGGCGTTGTTCTAATACATTTCTCCTTTGTACCGCTGACAAACACTTATTATAAATAACTTTCTCAACATCATTCATATCAGCTGTTCCTGAAGTATGTGTCACTTTTTGTTTATCACTTTTATCACAGACCTTTGCTTTAATATTGACAAGGGAATCAGTTATTAATTCAGGTGAAGTACTAGATAAATTCCCATGTCTTTGAACACTCTTCTCTTTGGAAGATGGGCTGCACGTAAGAAAACAAAAACGCCCCAAGGGATTACAATGAAATAATAGATAGTAAGTAATAACATTTGGTTAACAAGAATAAAACTTTGCTAACCGCAATTGATATTCATACTTAAAGTGAAGGAACACTAGTTTCCATGATAGCTTATCCTTTCTGTAAGCAGCTTGTTTTGAACACCATCAGTTGAAAGAAATATTTCTAAAGCAAAGATGATGAGACAAATTGACGTACTTATTCTACTATATACTTTAAGCACATATGAGAACTCTAGAGGACAAGATATCCTGCTTGAAAATATTTACAGAAATATTTGCAATCATTTCCTACCCCAAACGAATCAGAAGTAGCACTCAACTTTTAACTAATCAATCGTGGGTTCCAACTTAGTTCTACCTCTTAAACAAAGACAGCACTTCATATTTCAGTATACAATCCTGTACAGTTGAGGAATTGCACAAGTAAATAATAGCTTGTACAAGGATTATGTGAACGAGTTATGAAGTTCATAGAATAGATGATTCTGAATAAATCCATTTTCTACAACGTAGTGGCCGCTCCATATATATGAATGCAATTTACTAGTTCGTATGTGGATAATTTTAGGCAATTCATCATTATTGATGTAAGTAATATCTGATAAAAGAAACTAAGTCAATGACTTTAATTTTTAAATACATCGACGGCTTGAATGAGAATTCGGTAACTATCGGTAAGTATTATAAAAGTGATATCAAGGGATCAATTAACACCAGTTGCTACTTCGATTGAAAAACGTAGGGTGAATGAATCAACTGACTATTGCAAACATTTGTCAGTGCACTTAAAAAATGACTTGTACAAAGAAACCCTTTTTGTAATGACTGACAATGCGAACCGCAAAGTATGATGGGTATATTAATTAAGTAGACAATTATGATGACCTTCGTCCCTTAAATGCCTGTGCAGTGACAAAAATGATGATAAATCTAGCTCAGGAAATATATGTTTATTTGAAACTGTAATTCACGCTGAGGTTATTGATGGTAAATGTTGAAATAAAGTTGACGATTCCTAAGTTATTGGAGGAAAACTTATTTTGAAGAAAAAACATCTGAAGTACACTCTCGTGTACGCAATACGCATGAAGCTTTGAAAGCGTTCAGTATAAATGATATGCAATAGTGTAAACATAGATATAACTGACTATGAACAATATAAAAGCTCATTAATTCTACGATACGAATGCAGGTACATCCAGCTGACGAGTCCCAGATAGGAAGAAACGCGCGTCCTGGATTCCACCGCTAAAATCACATACTGTTTAAATTTTACAATTACGTCCTGTCTTATTACTTAAATAAAAATCTTAAAACACTTCATTTTTAGAAATAGAATAGTGAGTGAAAATATGACCAGTGGTAACTTGAACAATCGACTTCAATCATTAGATTTTACACCATATTTCATTTCAGTTTAGACGACGAGGTAGATTTAAATTCTGACGAAATAAATATAGTTCTTCTTGTCAAGCACAAAAACCTATTTGTGATTTAAGTGGCGAATATTTTATTGAAGAACATGTTATTACTTGTTTATAAGAAAACGCTTGATTTATTCTAGATCAGATGGATTATTATACTCAGTGTTTAACATCAAAGACAAACTGAGTCATCAGTCTGTAGAAAATTGAAAGAAATCAGAAAAAATAAGAGAATTGTCATTAACAAGTGGTGAGACTAAGAGCAATAAGAATAACAACTAGTATGTATAACTTACATGTTAGACGGAATATCTGAGTTTCTTGTCTTCTGCAAAAGAAATAAAAAATTACCTGCAGAAAAATGACTTAGAATTTATAGTTAACAAATTGTAGGTACTGATTAATTTATTTAGATAATATCAAATTTAAGCATGATATAAAAATTTTAATGGTGTAATAATACTGTGGGTATATGAGTAAAACTGCAGAAAATATACTTGTGAAATTATGGCAATTTCTATACATCTGCTTATTATTTTTACTCACACAAGTAAATAGTTGATAGAAATGAATTTCATTAGAGTCATGAGATAGTTAACTTGATACATAAAAATTTTAAAACTCATATAAAGTTGAAAATCTAAAGTAAGATGAAAAGTGTACAGGCTCAAAGCTTAAGCTTATCAATTGTCATTTAGATTTAGTCCCTAAACTACACAGAAAATCACTAGCGATTTTATAAATTATTAGAATAATTTTAAAAAATCGGCTGAAATTCAAACATTTAAAATTGGCATTTTAATGTGGTACTCATCCCAATTTTTAGTTGATGAAAATGTGCTAATTACGATAACATGAATATTTTACATCCTGTCTAAGATTTGAACATGAAGTCAATTTTCCTAACTATACAAAGCGTATAGACGTAGATTAAGACTTGAAAACTTTCCAAAAGTTAAATCCGCTTGGGTTTCCATAACATAGAAACACAAAAGTAAGAAGGGTGAATAAACAAATAATAAAATAAATGGATAAATAATTAATAGGATGTTTAGAATTTAAAGGGAAAAAATGAACAGATTTTATGAACTTGCAACGAATTTTGCGTCAGGTCCCCTGAAGTTTCATATCAACGAATGTTTAACATTTTGGAAACGCTAGATGAATAACCTATACTTCCATTTAGGGATAATCGTTATAGTTTGTAATGACTATCTTTAGTTTTCGCAGCTTGAACGTGCAGTAATGCGCAAAAAATTACCAACAATTAATTTGTTAACCTTGAAAAACTTATTTTACATTATTTTGACTCACTCCATATGAGGCCAAGATACATTTTTCGGTGTCTAGAAACACGCAAGTCACAAGATCTCAGATCTAACAGTTAGAAAGATCTGCACACGAATGCATATAACATTTTTTCGAAAATGTACAACTGTCCGACTTTAAGCAGGACACAAAACGATTTATGGGGTGACGACTCATAGTTTTAACAAAAAGCTGAAAACGCTATAATTATATATTATTAAGGAATAGTATATCTTATCTTTAAACAACAGGCGTAAAGCCAATACAACTCACATTGTTACCAACCGAAATTTTCGGCATCTTCGATGGAGGCCCAGAAAGTGAATTTCTTTTCAAATTTCTGAGTTCATCAAAATAGAAACGGAATTAAATTTCACAAACTTTTGGGCACGTAGCTTCTTAATTCCTAGGTTGCATTATAAAAGCCTCTAACAAATAATTCATATTGAAAAAATGGTAACTCAGAAACAACAAATAATTTCAATATCTTCTTTAATACACCCTATTTAACGAGTACAGATATACGTAATCCGCTTTGAGAAACACTGTTATTGTGATGGCTAGTGGCAATACTCAGTTGCTCAAACTGAATCGGATGAAGGAGAATTCGAACCTGTGACATACTGGTCGAAACCTGAATGTCGTAAATACTAAGCCACTGCAACTCCTTACTGAACCAGCTATTGATGGTCAATGTTCAGTCAGTCAGCTACAACGTAGGACCAGGCATATATATGCATCGGTCCAAGTTGCCATACCTCATTAACACAACAAGATGGACACTGGATTCATATAAGTGGTTAATTCAGAGGTGGTAATATGTAAAAGAAAGATTGCAATAAGGATATAGTACAGGAAGAAAGAATTAGTTCGTAGAAAGAAAGATATGAAGCGATTTTAATCTCTTAGTTTAAGGGGAGATAGAGAGTGTATACACCGACGCCATTGTGATCGATTCTGAGCCATGTCACCAAGAGTCTCAACCATTGGTTACGATAGTCACGCGGACCCCAACCAAGTAGTCTGCATTTACCAACATGGCTCAGACTAGAAGTTAGTGACTTTAAGCACTGGTGCCATGTTTTGGTTTGGCCACCCCTAACTTTCTTCCAACCATCCCCAACACCGGTTAGCATTTCACGTCGTGGCAATCGGTGTTCAGACATATGTAACACGTGGCCCAACCATCTCAGTCGATGAAGATTCACAACCTCATCAACTGATTTACCATCATTCCCTAATACCCTGTGTCTAACCTCACTATTACTTACCCGGTGATCCCAGCAGACGCGAGCAATATTTCTAAGGCATCTGTGGTCAAATACTAGTAGCTTACAAGTGTCTTCTACTCTTAATCTCCATGTTCCGTAAATTAAAACACAACCGACTGCCCCGCAGTATACTCGTCGTCTTATTAATAGACGGATATCTCGCCTTTGCTATAGGTGATGTAAGTTGGCGAAAGCGAAACGAGCTTTGTGAATCCGTGCAGAGATTTCGTCATACACCAATCCATTAGGGATGATTAGACTTCCAACATAAGTGGAGTTGTCAACGCGTTCGACTACTTCACTCCCTATCCTTAGTTCAGGTGTTGACGCAGACCAGTCCTGAAGCAACAACTTGCATTTAGAGGGAGAGAAGCGCATTCCAAACATTCTGGCATTGTTGCTTGGTGCTACCAAAACACTCTGCATTTTATCAGCGTCTTCACCAAGCAGGACTATGTCATCCGCGTATTCTAAGTCGATAAATGGACCTCCTGGAAGGAGATCAATACCCGAGAATTCAGTAGACAAGAGTGCTATTCCCATCAATAGGTCTATGATGAAGTTAAACAAAAATGGAGAAAGTGGACAGCCTTGACGGACACCACTTGAGGTTGCAAAAGCAGATGACAGTTCGCCATAAGCTCTGACTCCACTGGTAGTGTTCGAGTAAAGAGCCTTCACAAGGTTTATGTACTTCTGAGGTACGTCTTTCAATGACAGACACTGCCACAGAATCTCGCGGTCTACCGAGTCAAATGCTGCTTTTAAGTCAAGAAAGACCACCATTGTCGGACGCCGATAAGTATGCCTATGTTCTAGAACCTGACGAATGGTGAACATGTGGTCGATGCAGCCACGACCAGGTCTGAAGCCAGCTTGATCCTCTCGTGTTTGCAGTTCAAGAGTCTTAGTTAGGCGTCTGATAATTATCGAGGCTAGTACTTTAGATACTATATTAGTTAAACTAATCCCTCTATGGTTGTCATAGGATGATTTTAACCCTATCTTATATATTATGACGATAAGTGATTGTGACCAGTCAGATGGAATAACGTCTAACTCCCAGATCTTAGCCAAAATATTAGTCAACCTAATCGCTAAAATTGGACCACCATCCTTAAAGACCTCTGGAGCCAATCCATCTGGATCAGCTGCCTTTCCTCGTTTCAGACTAACTATAGCCTTTTGAACTTCTGTCAGAGTTGGGGGACCTACTTCAATGTTCCATTCACACTGTCTGGGAATGGAGGGTATTTGTAGAGTAGCTGAAGGCCAGTTGAACTGTTCTCTGAAATGTTTCGCCCATCGTTCTAAACGTCTGGACTGGGAGCGGATGAGGGTGTCGTCTTTTTCCGAAATAGTCTGACTTACACTTGACTTATCAATTCCAGTTTCTTTTATTAGTCTATGCGTGTTTAAGAGACACAGCATACATCAATGGTACGAGACTCTAGTGTTCTAGCCAAGGAAGCCTGTTGACCGATTTGACATAGTGTGCGTACGTTGAAGGCTCCAATGTGTAGTTTGGAGCGAGGTTTCAGTAGACCTGGGACAGTGTTTTGAGCACTAGAATCGTTGTCTATGGTGACACTTGAGGGGGAAGCCGAAAAAAGGAAGTTTAGAGGTGAAAGTCGATGTAGGAGGAATAATAGGAATTGGAGAGGAAGGTTGATTATGAATACAGTGGTCTTGAGTGTTGTTAGAGGTATGAGGGCGGTTATCACTTCCCGGTTGCCCACACCGTGGAAGGGTTGTTCTGGAGGTACCTAAAACGGAAATTGGATAGAGGTGGTCTTAGTGACCTGGGAGCGTGACCGCAGTGCTAGCTCCGTACTTGATGAGACCTTACCGCCGGAGACGGATATCCGTGGGATGAGGCGAGGTGTGGATTTTTAGGGTCGACCTTTTCTAACCCCACCCCTCCTTGTGGGAAGGCAGCATCGCCGTCACGCTGGTTGTCTGAAGGAAACACCTTACTGCTGTCACACTTCTGTACAGTTAGCAGTACGACTTCGTCTTCGAACCTTGGGTTTGTTGCTCTTAGTCTTTCCGCTCTTCAACCGACATGTCTGACATGGTAGGACCTTGAGGAACGGTTGTTCCAGCAAGTATAGCTCGGTTGCTTCATCACGATAGGCAAGCCCGACTACCACGACAAGGTAGCAACAACGGTCGGGATGGTCAGTGTTCGAAATCAACCGGTCTTGATTTTGTGCTAGGATATACAAACGTTTGTTTTTCAGTACTGTAATTGAATATGTGGCTAATAGGTTGTCCAGTCAAGAACAGATCATCTACGGAAAAGTATTATTTACAGTGATCATTCGCTGATTAGTAGTTAGTGTCATTTTGATAAATACTAATTTTATTGCCTTTCCCCTCCCTGTAAATGCACGCTTGTTGCTTCGGTACTGATCTACATCAACACCTGAACCAAGGATAGGGAGTGAAGTAGTCAAACGCATCGACAACTTCACTTATCTTGGAAGTCTGATCAACCCTAGTTAGTTGGTGTCTGACGAAATCTCTGCACGGATTCACAAACCTCGTTTCGCTTTCGCCAACTTACATCACCTATGGTGAAGGTGAAATATCCGTCTATCAATTAAAGGACAAGTATACTGTGCGAATCTTCATCGACTGGCATGGTTGGGCCACGTGTTACGTATGCCTAGACACCAATTACCACGACGCGCAATGCTGACTAGTGTTGGAGATGGTTGGAAGAGTTAGGGGTGGCCAAACCAAAACGTGATATCAGTACTTGAAGTCACTAACTTCTGGTCTGAGTCATGCTGGTAGATAGAGACTACTTGGTTGGGGTCCATATGACTATCGTAACCAATGGTTGGAGGCTCTGGGTGACATGGCTCACAATGGCGTAGGTGTATACACTCTCAGTCTTTCCTTAAACTGTGAAATTAAAATTGCTTTATACCTTGCTTTCTATGAACTAATTATTTCTTCCTATATTATATTCTTATACACAACCTTTCTTTTATATATTACTACCATTGAAGTAACTACTTCTATGAATTTGGTGTTTATCTTGTTGTGCTGATGAGGTGTGGCAACTTGGACCGATGCATATATGTGCCTGGTCCTACTTTGTAACTGACTGACTGAAGTACTAAATTTGACTGAGGAAACTGATAATATAACTAATAAACTACGTGACTTGGCATTACAGTGTACTCTATTTTAACAATAACTAGTACAACATTTCTATGAATATAGTGTTAATAGAAATTCCAACTTTTAATTTTAATTAAGACAATGAATGTATGTAAATGTCTAACATCCAGCTTAGCCTTTCCGAACTTTCTTCTACAAGCATGGTCTAGCAAATGATCGTTAGCCATCAACTTAATTTTCGATAAGTAGAAAATGTTAGTAAAACAAGTCAAACTAACGGAAGCCAAGCTCATCTATAAAATATTACTTACGATCATCTGTGATTTAAAATAAAATACATTTTCTGTATACCTATTTCATGAAGATGCAAAATAGTAGTGAAATCACACGTGACCGAGAGGTGCTGTTGTTTAGGCCCAAAAGTATAAGACTAAAAGTGCTTCATTATTAAATACAAGTACACAATTTCAAGCGCCTCCAAAGTAACGCTGGCTTGTTAGAACTATTATGAGCCTTGAAGTGAGTCAACCGGTAAACATAAACGACTAAGGAGAATTGGATTTCAACTAGAATACGTTACGACATCAGTGACCACAAAATGTGATACTAAGTGCTGTCTGCGCAAACGCAGGACGGAAGTCTTCAAAGAAATAGAAACGACAATGCACTCAGTAAGCATTGAACTGAATTGTGTCAAGTGTATGTTTTAGGGCTAAGGTCCCTAAAATATTAAAAAACAATAGCTGGAAACTCTAATCAATACGTGCTAAAATTAAGTTCGGAAACATTCATATTTTAACTTTCTTTTAACCTCGAATATTTTACTAGCCTAAATCTGTATTCTCCTTTCCCGTTAATTACCTGTTCATTTTCACATTGTTATACTTACTAGCCTGAAGAGTAATGATCTAAACAAATCCATTTTTGGTCGTGTTATACATTACTATATCTACAGAACTACTATGATAGCGAAGATCCTAAAAATGAACAAGAAAATAACAAATGTTTGATATAAGCAACTCGAAACCAGTCAGTCAACTACAACGTAAGACTAGGTACATATATGCATCGGTCCAAGTTGCCACACCTCATCAGCACAACAAGATAAACACCAAATTCATAGAAGTAGTTACTTCAATGGTAGTAATATATAAAAGAAAGGTTGTGTATAAGAATATAATATAGGAAGAAACAATTAGTTCATAGAAAGCAAGGTATAAAGCAATTTTAATTTCACAGTTTAAGGAAAGACTGAGAGTTTATACACCTACGCCATTGTGATCGATTTTGAGCCATGTCACCCAGAGCCTCCAACCATTGGTTACGATAGTCATATGGACCCCAACCAAGTAGTCTGTGTCTACCGACATGACTCAGACCAGAAGATGGTGAATTTATGGACTGATATCACGTTTTGGTTTGGTCGCCCCTAACTTGTTTCCAACTCGAAACCATAACTGTGTGTACTAAAGTCAGTAACATTTGTGGACTGATATAAAGGTAACATACTTTCTAGCCTTTGTATTGCGTTCGTCTTTAATTAACGAGGCAGATTTCAACTGATAGTCAAGCGTTTTGATTCTAAAACAAATGATTATTTTAATTATAATTGTTTTGGTCTTACTTTTGTTGGCGACTGTTTTCCACTTCCTTGACAAGATTTTCACGTGCTTTAACAAAGCTGTCATCAGTGGCTTTAGTTCTGTATCTATACTGGATATTTTGTAGACACTTTCCACTGCAATAAATCGAAGGATATCATAAAAACAGCAAAAATGTTTTTATAGTTGGAAATCAAAAACCAATCGAAAGGTAAACAAATATTGAAACCATGTCTCGCATTCCTACATTACACCTATTTTGCTATAAAAAGCGTTAAAAGTTCCATTATTGTGAAAAATTTTCATACAAAGTTACACAAATAACACGATGGCCTAAAAGTACAATAGAAATGGGCTTTTGAGTGGAACGTATGAAACCAGAAAAATTAAAATGAAAATAAAACAACCCAGATATATAACTTTGTGTTAAATCCAGTTCATCCTAATATGGTTGGAGTTGATGGGCTCGTGTCTGTGAAGAAATTTACTGATGTAATTAACTCTAGAATGTTATAATTGTCATGAGAATCGAAATGCTGCCTGGAATTCTAAACGAAAAGAGCTTTTTGCACTAGAAGAAAACTAATGTCTAAAAGTGATCTTAAATATGAATCCCTAATTTTTGACTGTTGTCTTGCCAAAGCATACGAAAATAAAGAGGACAAGTGATGGTCCTAATCTATAGCCGGAAATTCATGGTAGAATTTGGCAATCATATACGAAAAACTACCCCACAGAGCACATATCTTGTAGAACACTCTGTTATCTGAGCGGATTTCCCATAAAATGATGAAATTGACAGAACAATGGATTATTACCTATGTGCAAAGACGATTAGGTAAAAAAAAGAACACTTTAGTAATGGAGATACACTTCTCGAAAGTTGAAAACAATATCAACGTTCTATCTCTATTATTAAGTCCGTGTGCTTTACTTATGACTTTTTGTCGGTTCCCAAAAGCACTGAAAGATGGGTAGATGGAAACAACTAACAGCCAAGTTCAACAATGAGTCCTCTAACTTTTTTTCCACAGTGACCATTAACATCACAGCAAGTGGTTTGCTGTATATGTCAAACCTCATAACTCGCCGAGATGTTAGCTAGTAACATAAAACCTATTTCTATAACTCTGGAAATATCAAGAAAAAAGGCAATACATAGGCATTTCTGAAGAATAAACAATACAAATATAGCTATCCGTAGGGTTTCGTACAGCAACGATAAGTGGAACTAACAAATCTTATGATGGAAATATACATTTTAATATGTGATTACATCAAAGTTGTTGCATGATATTTTGAGTCACGCTTAGCATGAGGGCTATTGATGCATCTTGGTGGGGCAAATAGATATAATTGAGATGAATTTCGAACAGCCAACTAAATGGTCAAAATTCTAAAGCTTTGACCACCAAACTACTGCACTACTAAGGGTTGAAACTGGTTTAATGGAGGGTGAAGAGTTTTTGGATATTGTGGTAAAGACCAGAGAAAACCTGGCACCAACCTGGTACCAATAATTACTGATTAAAACTGACCTAATCCCGGCAACTGAGCAGTATTTAAGTACTTCAAGGAAAGTTATGAACTTACACTGATTTCCTAACATTGACGAGCGAAAAATATACTGTACCATGGTCGGGTTCGAGTTCATAAACGGAATCTGATCCCGAAGTAGTAACTACAATCTTCTAAAAGAAATAAAAAAAGTTGGAAAGGAGAGACCGATAGTTACTCACTCAAAACAAACTACTATAACATTAGTTGTTTTGGCTTTCCATTTTAACGGAAATCACATCCGTGCTGATTTAGATCCATCATTCGTCTCTACTTAGTTTCTTGGTAACAGAGCGAATGACCACCAATAGAAATACATGATTGACTGAGGTATTTTAAGCACTTCGTTTTCAACTTATAGATTTCGGTCACCTAGATTTAAGACAGACCTAGCTACCCTGAATACATGATGTTTAAAAATCCTCGCCAACCTAAGATAGAAACCAGACAACTCGTCCCATTTACCGTTAAAGTACTTAAAAGTGCTTATTATGAACGAGATTGTTACAAAAAGATTGAAAGATGAACTAGAAAAGGAGCTAGTGAGCTGCAGCTCATTATTCATGAATAATGATATGAACTTAATAATGAAAGCCAACAGAAATGAATAAAAAAATTGTCGCGGGGTTTCTAACAAGTCACTTCCCCTGAGTAATTTTCTTGATTCTCAGAAACAACTAGCAGAAGTATTATAAAAAGACAACAGAAAAATAACACATTAAAACATACCGGGTTTTGCTGCGGTTCACAAGCAAGTGAGATCTTACCGCCCTAAAGCACTAGTGGGAGATTAAGTAATATTTACGTTTTGTTTGATATTTTCCAGAGAACATAGAAGACTTTCAGTCAATCTCAGATGAATAAAGTCACACTTGTTACTTCGCATCGCTGTAATTCAAATACGTCGACACATTAGGCGTATAATCTTCAATTTTTCTCACTTGTAAACTCATGTGCCAATACAACTAGCCGTACCCTGCGAATATAATGGGTTTGTTCGGTCATAATTTATTCACTTACTTATCACCTTATCCTTATTTCAGACCAAGTACAATAAAGTTGCAGCATCAGATTTTAGAATTTTGCAGTAAGGACCGAAGACCTACGGCTTGTGTTAGTCCTTTTCTGATAAAATCTGAGTGTCTTATCTCCTCTCGGTTGAACCATTTGAAGTTGTAGACATCACATTTTTACGTAATAGATTGCAAGAATTGATGACTTGGTGTGAAAACCTGCATGCCTTGGATACTTGATTCGTTCTTCGCTCTTGTACTCACCTGCTATATACTCTGAGTTGTCCCGTTTTGGTAAGAAGAAAAAGAAAGGGCATATCAGGTCAAAAATCATCTCCTAGCATCCTATACATCAAAATCAGGCCACCTGTTAATCTGCAGTAGAGCAGAGTAAATAAGTCCAACTTCTCTAGCCTCTTTTTTCGTGGAGTTCTGGAATTATAGGAGGAGTCGCTCTACATACTTTCTCCATGATGTATAGGTGACCTTATAAACGATAACTTTCAGCCAGGAAGCAGTTTTCAAGTTCGATTCTGGCTAGGGCTGTGCATACTGCATTAAACGTATTAGTATCTAACTTGGTAAATGTTCGTCTTAAAGCTCATAGGATTCTGAACCCCTTAGCTCCAACCTCCCGGCAATGAGCTGTGGTCCTAAGATCATGACTCAGTCACCCAAAAATCCCCTTGGGCTCGGACCACAGGTACAGACAATTTCCTATGTTGTACCATTAACCTTTGTATCCCCAAAGTGTATGTTGACTTAGGTGGAGGTGTAGTTCATCCGATCCTGCTACTTTTTCTGTATATAAAGTGCCTAAAGTACACCATCTCGACCGAAGTCCGCAATGAGTAGACGATTTTTTGACCTCTTATTTGGGTCTATTTCTTCATTTAGAGGAGACTGTTGAGTGAAAACTAACCCGAAATAGTTTGTTGTAGCCTTTGATTTGTCCCCCTCTGTCATTTTTGATCCACTCCCTTCCTTAATTAGGTTGAGAATACAAATTTGCGTTCTTCTTCTATAATTCCAGTACCGGAACAGTCTTTGGGATGCTTAATTGCAGACTGGGCCAACTGCTTTTCATAATTTCACTGAGCTGCCTGGAATGTAATTACATACTTACTGCATGCCAATCTGTAACTTTCCATCGCACTTGCCGTGTCAAGGCTGATGGTAACGTCTCAACATTTTTCCTTTGTCTGATTAAACGTTGAATATCCCGGTCTAACCAGGGATGCCCGAACTTCTTCCTTGTGACCATCCAGGGCAAAAATGGTAGAGTTGCTTGTTATGTCTTTCGGCCCTTTTAATTTATCATGTGATAAAATCCTGATGGAGTTTTGTTCGCCGAGTTGGATGGTTTGGTCGTGGAGCTTTCATCGTTCTTCCGAACGACATCATCAGTACAAACTTCAGATAGAAGTGAAGCGTTCGAATTTCTCCATATGCGTTTCACAGCTTTATCTGTACACCTCGACGTTGATTGGTTCTTATTGGCCTTAAATTTGTTGTTGTTTACTTCTTTGTTTTGGTTGTGTCTTCCATTGGTTTGATTTTTGTTCCTATATTTGTGCATAATTTTCCTGATTGGTTGATGGATTGGATCGATATCAATATGCTTGTTGATTACTGATTGACCTGAGTGCCAGGCTTCTAAAAGTTCTGACATTTTTGTAATTTCCTCTGTCCAAGATTTCCACATTTTTTCACAGCTGTCCACGTGTATTGATACAAGAGAGGAAGCATCATGGCGTTTGACTGCTAATCGATGTTCATGTAGACGAAGGTGAAGGGGGCGTCCGCATTGTCCGAAGTAGTGTTTTTCGCAGTTGGCACAATTTATTTTGTAGACGATGTTTGATTTGTATTCCTTTGTTGTTTCACCCTTTGGTTTGCATAGGATTGATTGTGGCGATTTTGTCGGTTTGTGTACCACACTTCACTTCTATCTGAAGTTCGTGCTGATGATGTCGTTCAGAACAATGAGAGCTCCACGACCAAACCATCCAGCTCAGAGAACAAAACTCGATCAAAATCATCCACCTGGTCTACAAATCTTCACCATGTGATAAAATCGCCAATCAGAGACACAGAGTTGCACGACCAGACCAATGGCGCATAAACCTATACGAGCAGCCTAGAGTTCTAATTGGTCCTTTGAGATAGTGGCTCCTCCAATTCAGTTTATAATGCTAATATCATTCTTCACTACACGAATCATATATTTTAGACATACTTGATTTATATGCAAACAAACTAGGCCGTATCATATCGTAAAATAAAAAATAACAATTGCGCACTGTGGTTGTGAGAGGGTGTGACTTATGGATCAAGAATATGTTGAGACTAGCAAATCATCAAATGTTCAAATGAAAGCTTATAATAAAAGGAGTATGAAAATACACACTGTAATTACTTAATAATTATACAGTAAGAATATGCGTATGATATTTGTCCATAAACAGTTCCCAGAGGTTGCCATTCATTTCTTCCTCATTAGGATATAACACACCTGATTGCTTAACTGCCAGAAATGAGTTCGTGCCTCTTCTTCTGATACCCCTAAATCAATTATTCAGATTTTAACCGAGTTTACAGAGTCGATCGCTTTTGTGTGCCTTCCATATGTTAGGACGGGCCGGTGCAAATAATTGACGGCAATCTCAGTCATATACTTAACGACCAAATGTTCGCTTCTCCATAAAGGCGGGAGGAAAGTTATTTGGCTGATAGCCTGGCCGTATGAGAAGACGAAGTCTAAGAGAGATGAGGATTTTTGTTGATCATATCCGGTGAAATCTCTAATGTACTGGAATAAAAATAGGCCGATTCATGTTCCTAACAATTTGCAATCAAACGATGTTTTTAATGACCTTACTTCTAAGTTTCCCCGATTTATAGACGGTGAATTAGAGTCACCTACTATGGGGCTTTGTTACTTGCTTAGCCAGGGTTTAAGTTGAGTTGGGAGGACGTCATTCGCTACATATGTACTGGCATTGGATACAAACCACATTCCTCAAAGCTGAACATGAGATAACCGGGAAAACAGACCTTCAACATGTAACACTAAGAGAAGGTCAATAATGGTGGATGCAGTAACGTTTACTCGAAATTCAATTCATCGGATGAAATGACTCAGCCTTGCAGGCATGGTCATTCTTGAGTGTTGTCTTATATCTTTTATTCACGTTAAATATATTTTAGGATTAGGTCTATTATTACAGCAGTACCAACAACGAAATAGACCATATGTCTACACATATTCTGCACTGAGGTTTACCACAGCCAAACGTCTTGCCTTTTATACTTCAGCCTACAGCACACCAGTTCACATGTCCCTGAGTCTCGTGCCACTTTCACAACAGCTCATGTGGTTCAGTGCTTTATGTGTACAGAATAATCACACCACTACTGAGATTTAGTACGTTGGCCTTGAAAAGTAAAAAGTCAAATTACTGAATTACACCATCATGTTACTTATGTTTCTGAGATGGCTATGACATCAGGATTTTCCATGTTAACCACGGTACTGAACTCCGTCATTCTATTTAGTACTTTCCGAGCATTTGTATGGTATACCTTTAGTTCTGTGAAATACTTTCCCTTACCACCCAGAATGGTTTAAGTTTCAGATTTGTGTAGCAAGGATAGAAGGCCTACGGCCTATTTTATTCCTTTTCTAGTATGCCTCTAAAAGTCTCCGGTCTTCTCTTGAATGTGTCAATTGAAGGTGCGGACGTCATTACTTCGGGTAACAGGTTCCAAGAATCGATGACTCGGTGCGAAAACCTGTATGTCACTGGTATTTTGTTAGTTCTTGGCTTTTTTACTCACCCGCTATGTCCCGATCTATTGGGAAGAAAAAGAGAGAATATATTAGGTCTAAAGTTATTTCTTAGTATTCTGTACGTCAAAATTAAATCACCTGTCAGTCTGCGATAGGACAGACTAAAGAGGATATCCGAGTCACCTATTAAACAGGGATTGCAGCATGAACGTAGTTCTCAAGCTTAGTTCTAACTAAAGTTGTGTATGCTGTAGTGAACATGGTAGTATTTAGTGAATATCCATCTTAAAGTCTGGAAGGTTTCTCCATAATTTGTCTTGCGCCGACATGTAAATCCGGTGCTGAAACCATTGACTCTTTTATCTTTGAAGCTTTTTTTCCACGGAAAGTCAAGCTTCTTCTTGAAAATGTTTACTAATGGGGCTAATATCATCATTATGACGCTAGAATAAATGTTTGTGCAGTCATAGTCTGGAGTGATGCTATGAAAGTCTGAATTAAGTGAAAAGGATAATGAAATGTCAATATTTATGAGTCATATATGCATATATAGACCACCTCATGCGGATACTAAGTTTGACAAATTACTAACAAACATATTTTCCATTGCTTCGCACCAACCGCATACTTTTAAAATCATCGGAGGCGATTTTAACCTGCCAAAAATTAAATGGGGCTTGACTCCGGTACCAGGTCGATATAACAAGCTAGTTGAAACATTAGAAATTTGTGGATGGGTTCAACAGGTCCGAAAACCAACCAGGGGGAATAATACACTTGATTTAATGTTCACAATCAACATAGACTCTATCTCAGTACATACCAGTCATGAGTTTTTTATGAGTGACCATAGAGTTGTATTGAGTATTATTCACTCTTTAAACGCCATACAATTGAACTCTAAAGCTTCATTGATGTACCAAAGCAGACATTTTGATCAACAAACATGGAAACGGACTGGAACTCTCATTCAATGTTTACCATGGGAAACTTATTTTACCACAAATAATGTTGACATTGCGCTTTCCAATCTATACCACAACCTGATATATTGTCTTGACTGCACTGCTCCAGTTATTGGCCGTGTGGCTTATAATGCTAATAGGGGCCAAAATACTT